CTCAGAATCACGTAACTCGGCATAACAGTCGGAATAAAAGCGACAATTTTCTCGTACTCAAGTTTTATTTTCACAATTTCTACAATACTTTTCCTCGATAATTCAATGTGAGTGTTTCTCCACGGCGCAATTGGTGCCGTACTCAAGTGCGATTTAACACCTGTTTCTTTTTTCTTAGAGTATACGACGTGCCATATATATATATCATTCGGCGGTATTACGCGATGTTATGAGTTTCTTGGCCGTTGACGGTGCGTTATCGTCCACTCGGTGTAAAGAGAGGAAAGAAAAGCGCGAAAACGGTAAGGAGGTATTTCCGAACCGCGCGCTTCTTTCCTCCGCACCTCTTGGTCATGGCTCTCTCTTTCTTTTTTTTTTTATTTCCTTTGGAGGCAGGATGAGACTTTTTCAGCCGTTAATCATTTGAGACGATTTAACGAGCGCGCCAATGTGTACGGGCCTTTTAGCAATTCCTCGACTCGTGGACGAACGTAGAAAGAGAAAAGCGAGGGAATTTAATGAAGTCGAAAGAGTACTCTCGAGATCTCGGCCCGAGAGGGAGATGACGTTCGTCTTCTAAATCGCGACTTTCGTCTTTTTCCCCGGGAATAATCGCAGCTGCGTTTACGCAGAATTTCATAGCAGAATTGACAGCTAGGTCGGATTTGGAGTCGCTTTCATAGACGACGCCAGACGTCTCGAGCGTCGAGTACTCCCCTGAGAACGAGGCTGGAAATAACTCACCCATGGAGCAAAAGTTTACAAGACCACGCACGTTTCTACCCAGCTAGTTCCTCCTGCCAAGAGAACTTCCAGGAACGGTGATAATAACGTAACGCAATTTTTTTTTTCTCTTATTTCCAATCAGGAAAACGCCTGCATGCATTATTAAGCGAGGAAACGTACAGGTTGTCCTCTTTCGGATTCCGTTTTTCTTTTAAATTCTGTAACCTTTTAATTTTTCAACCAATTTGAGCCTGCAATTGTCGTGCTAGGATCAGTTGACATAAAATGACGTGAAGTCAAGTAGGCAAATAGTGAAATTAAGAGAATGTTTATTGTAAAATCGAGTTTCCGGTTCTTTTCACACCCCGGTGAAGGATATTCGGGATTGGGAAAATATTTGGACTTGTCAAAGGAATAGCCCATCCGCGTATTTCGTTGGCACGAAATGGGGATGTCAATTGGTTGAAGACATTGAAGACAATTGGAGGGAAACTGTACCTTCGGTTCGCTAGGAGGTGATTGTAAATATGTTGTTACATTGTTATTCCAAACGATACACGGCTCGTTACATTGCCAGGCCTAACACGTAGATCGCGATCGTGCAGGACGATTTAAGCGTTTCTCGAATGGAAAGACCATCGTCCACCATTGTGGAGGAGGACCCATTTAGGTCCGAGCTCCTCGAAATCTTTCACTATTCCTCAGTTTTTCTTCCGAAGTCCGCCATTACACCTCCGTGCACCATTACGGCCTGATTCGCGGTTGTAAAAAAAGTTGCTCCATTTTTACGATGACCCATAATTCCTCGAGGAAAGGTTTTCAGTGCTTTTCCGATACCTTGGGCAAATAATTGTAAAACGACGCCATGATGCTGAACGAGTTGATGTGGTTTGCATTTTATTTTGTAAGAATATGATCCGCCGTCGAAATATATTGCCTGCAAATATATGACTCCTGACGGTCTTTAGTGGCATCCGAAGGACTCTTGGTATTTCCTTGAAGGATAAAAGGATGAACTCTTTTTGCATCCGTAGTCGAAGGTCCTGCGACGATAGTCTCGACCGCTTGTTAGGGAAAAGGGCCGGAGATATATATTTAACAGCCTGTTACTTAGAATACCGCTTTAATAAAAATTCCAATAAACATTCCCGGCGCGTGTTAACATTTTAGACGATCCTTCAGGGTGTAAAAGGGTTAAGGCGCTAAGAGAGCCGAGATTACGAGGTCGTCCCTGCCAGATCCTCCGGCAGATCCTTCAGGAGATCCTCCTTCGGCGTTTTCTACGCGAAATTGTTCCAACGGCGACGTTAGGATTACTGCTCGTTTCGACCAGGATATTGATCCTTGGAGGGAGCGCAATTGCTAACGACCGGGTCGTTTATAGGACATCCTACGGAGCGGAATGTCAAACGAGCCTAGGGAACATTTAGGAACATTTAATGACCTCGACTGACGGTAAATCAACGAGGATGAACATTTTCACGGCGCTCACATGTCTAGTAACGATACTTGGAAATGTTACCCTTACGAAAAAAAAATTAGGCAAGGCATTTTCCCTAAAATACAGCCTAAGTGATCGGTCGTCAAAGGACTTATTTTTCATCTCGCTAACAAGGAAGAGATTTTTCTCGAAGGGGTTCTGATTCCCCTTCTTTTTTCGGGGTAATTTCACGATTTTTTATTCTTAATTTAGGGTAGAGGAGGTAGGTGGTGGTAAACATAACCTATCCTAAGATAAATTATGCTGCCTTGGCTGCAACATATTCAGCAGAGGGATTAGATTAGTTTTCGGGGGGGTGCAGGGGACGGGAGGACGCATCCTCTGTAGATGTAAAGGGCGGAGCGCTTCCCAAGAAAAAAGAACAAACGATCGTGCAAGTTTCTTGCGGCTTGCCGGTGCCGTCTTCAGGGACCTTAGACAACGTTCGTGAGATAAATTAAGGGGCGTTGAAAAATTGCTCTATGCCGGTAAGGGGACGTTAAACCTCGTTTTTAAATTATTTTTATTCTTATTTTTATTTTTCGTTACGCTTTTTATCGCCACTTTTTAATGCCTTTGCAACGAAATCACCCTCTATTGTGATTTACGTCGTTGTTCGAGATGACCCCAAGGAATTCCCCCAGGAATTTAACGATCGGCGATGGGGTATTGTATTTCGCTCCATTGACCGATACCATTGTCTCCAATGATACTCGCGTCACTCGTCATCCCCCGTGTCCACCCTCGCCTCGATCAATAGAACGATCCGTAGATCCTTTATGGGCACACTGCGCAAAAGGTCGTTGAATCTTGTCGATCATCGAAAATCGAGTCGCTTCCTTGTTCGATCGGCAACAATGGGCCCACAAAGAACGCCCAATTGCTCGATCATTGCCGTCAATGTGTCGACTCCGATTGGTGTTCGATCGTTAGTTCGATCGATCGACATATGAGCCATGGCGAGATAACGCTTTAAGCTTAAACAGATACAGCTTAATTTTCTCATTATTTTCCGAGGTACTTTAATCAAATATTAGGAAACGTTTCTAATTAAAGTCGGATCTTTTTTACAGCAAAATTACGGGGAGTGAAATATAATTTAAAAATCTTAACCGATAAATTCGGTAGAGTATATTGTAATTTTTATTCTACCGCGTACGATAATGCATCAGTGAAACGAGAAAATGTGTGCGTTTATCGGTCATTGTTAGTGAGTTTACTCGAACAATTGTATAATTGACATTCAAGGAGTAGCTGGAAAAGTATGAGGAAGTTTTTTAAACGTTACCGCAAAACGATATCTTGCTTCCTCCTCGATCAAAAGAGCCATGCCCAGTTTGTTGTCGCCATTAAAGAATACCACAACCGTGAATCTACTTTGTGTTGCTCTTATAAATTACATGAAATAAATTAAGTTACCGGTCTGACGCATTTATCTCAGGATTGTGGGGAAAGATTTCCGTAAATTATTCCGCAAGAAAATTCTGTCGGCTCGCATTCAAGTGTTTCTCATTTGTCGGGGGAAGTAACATTGTTTATCACGACTGTGAATAATTTCCCTGTGTGCGTAGAAAAATTCGGAAAGACTGCCCTGCAGAATCTTTACGACACGATAAGTCGATTCGAACGTTTGCTCGATCGGTACACGAGGGGTGGAGTGATAACGAGCCCACTGTTCAATTTCATTGTCGGAGGTACGAGGCGAAAGTAGTATCGAGAGCGGCCATTGGCAATTGGAACATTTACCCTTCCTGCCTTGTAATCCCAAGCTGCGTCTCGCGGAAAGCAACGTGTCCTGCGTGTCCATGAAAGGACAATTAATCCTTCCACGGTTGGCCGAGGCAACGTCGGGCCCGAAAGGAGGTCCAAGGATCGTGGCAACGATTCAGCCTCCGTCAGCAGGAGGCGAGAAAGGAGCGGAAAAGCACTGGTCGGCGCACTTAAGGCTGCCCTCGTAACTGCATAATGCCTGACGAATTATCGCGTGTACGCATTATTCAGGTGCAAGGCTTCGTGTTCCTGCCGCCTTTAGACGGGCTGTACGATCGGTCCTATTCCAGGGTGCTCCTTTCCACCTCCGACACTTTCTACGCGGTCGATCACCGCAATTTTCCTAATTGCCGTGGTCATTACGCTAGCAGGATTTCGTTTAATTCGTTGTAAAATCCACGATAGGCCACTGGCTCCCGTGCGGAGAAAATCAGCTCCCGGAATCGCTCCAGAAGAAACCTGGCTATTTATTAAGGCAGCTTCGCGGAGCGCATTATTTGTTTTAAAAAAAAAGGGTTTATCGCTGCAAATATCCTAACGGGGAAAGTGTTGGATATTTTTTGAGGGGCTTGGAATTTCTCCAAGAGGCGTCGTTGGCACATTTATACGTGTGGGTGGTTCCTTTTGGGCTGTGTATTCTCGGGACTGCTAAACCGAGGTTTTCGAAGGAGCAGGAGCAGATCCTCCGTCCTTTCAACGGGCCATTTTTCAGGCCCTGTTATCGCGGGATTGCTAGCTCCACGAGAGGCGAGGTCCTCGTAAACATATCTCCTTTCTATCGCGTTACGAACCAGACACTTCGGGCCATGTGATAATAGCGCGCTTTCGTTACCGTCAGCGCGATAACTCAGGATGTGCGGCCGCAGACTCTTCCATATTTCATGGAAGGGTTTCTAATTGGGCGGTAACGATTCGATTTCTGAAAGAAATTCTGGAGATTGTATGCGCATAATTTCGGACATCGTGGGAAAAAGTCTCTTGGTGTAATGTTTGGTTTAAATGAGATTACTTGGGGTGTTCCCAGATGTTCCTGACGTAGCCTCGGGATGGCCTCCACCATGGGCTTACAGCAGCAGGCTGTCTCTCAGGACACCGTGGATTATTCCGGATATCTGCAATCCCATAACCACCTGATCCACGGGAAACAGAACGACAGGCAGCAGCTACAGGGTGGACAAAAAACCCCAAACAGGGACCACAATACCAGCTTCACCAGCACCAAGGGCCTTCTTAACGGTCCGGGACAGAACAATTGCTTCCTGAACAGCGCCGTACAAGTGAGTAATCCAAAAATCGATCAAAAAATTTCTATTCCGATAATCCAAGAATCATCTTACCGAAGCATTGTCGAGACGAAAAAAATTCCATTGCTAGAAACTGCTGGAAAAATTGTTCGGTAAAATTAGAGAAGTCGATCGATAAGTTTCCATTCACGGATGAGTCGTTTAAGTTCCAGTTTACTCGAAACCCTTAGATTCATGTTTCGATACTTGGACCGGGTTTGGGGCACTTGACCCGAATATTTTTCAAGCGAGTGCTTCCTTCGACAGTTCTGATTACCTTGATCTACGATAGGTTTTTTAGGAAACGCGTTTAGATAATCCAAAAGTTATTCTAATTACGAGACACCATTACCGGCCGAACAGGCGTTATCGCCTTAGTTGACATTTCTCTTAAAAATGGGGAAATCAATGAAATATCGCCTATTTTCCTGGATCACTCGTTCCAGGGGCAGTTTCTTCGGTACCTCTCGATTTACGTGAAATCGCTATCCAGACTGGTTTCGATTCATTTTGTTGGAGCGTTTTGCATTTTAGAGCGCCTCCACCCGGGACAGGACGGGCACCGAACGACATTATTATCGGGAAACTTACTCCAGGGCGTGCTGCATTGACGAACCGGTTTCATCGAGAGAGAGAGTACACGCCGGTTTTGTCCTCTCGGTGAATCCAAATTGCTCTCTCCGGCTATCGCGAATTCACGAGTACGCGAGACCGAGTCCAAAATCCCAGTTCTGCCCTAAAAGCCGAGAAAACCGAGATAGACCCGATCGAGCGAATGCAGCGAGCTCGAGAGGGCGCCTGCATAGGTGCATCCCGCCGTGCAGGCGTGGCTCGGGCTTGCATGCACTTTTGGGCACCACCGGACACGGAATAATTCAGGTCTCGGTAGGGTACGTGGTGCGGACCCGCGATAAGCGCACTTGCGGTTCCTGCATCGCCGATAAGCAAACCACGTGGTGCTCTAAATTGAAACGATTTGCTTAAATTTTGTCACCGAAACGGGAAGGTCTTAACGTGGATTGCTTGAATATTCTACCGCAGGTTGTACCTCGTCATACGTAGGGCTGTAAGTTGATTCGATGATGAACCTTGTTAAGAGATAAGTGAATTATCTGATAGCCTCCTCGAGGTATTAGGCCCCCACAAATAACGCCCTTTACCACCCTTCCCGGATTTCTGCAAATGATTAACGCGTTATGAGGCTCGTCCGATTTGACGTTTACCTCCTAATATTTTTCCATCGCTCTTTCTTCCCGTCACCTCGTTATTAAACACTTAACCGCAGGATGCACCCACGCCTGCATCCTTGGAGGCGTGCAGGTAATATTTATGGAGCGGTATTTTTAGGCGCCCGCGGTTTCCTTGCCGCATCGGCACTTGATTTTTCATCCCGCCTTTTTTTCTACATTCAGTTTCTGAGTTATGGTACGGTGGATCCTTAAATTGCAAGGCTGTTGTGGGACTTTTTGGCCATTTTCCTCGCGTCCCGTCGTCCTGTTAAATATTTAGCCGTCGGATGCACCCACACCCTGGGCCATGAGAGGACACGAGACACTCAGGGCCCCGGCCCTGAAAGTCATATTGTCAAGTGGTAAATATTCATGCGACTAAGCGACGGAACACGTCAAGGACCTCCTCGCACCTAATCCTTCGGGATCTCTGGCACGGTCGTGTAAAGATCCCTCTTCCTTCCCAGTGCCCTCAGGGAAGCCTCTCTGCCGTATGGGGACTAAATTGCGGCGGAGTCCTGGCTCGTAATTCAAGGAGCAGTGGCCCACTAATTAGACGTTTTCCTATTAATAAATCACCCCTGTAGCTCACAATGGGTTTCGGACCTTGGGCCTTCTACAAAATTTCATCGGGAATTCGATGAAAGTTGCATCCGGGTCTCGAAACAATCCCTCCGTTATCCCTCTAATAGATAGGTAATCTGAGAAATCATGGAAATGACCATGAGAAATACTTATTCCGCCTGGGAGACTCATGGCTACATTCATAATCACTTCGTAAAAATATACTTTAACTGAAGCAACCTTAACATTTAATGGCAACTTTGAGGTTCACCGATTTTATAATCAAAGGGCAGAATTGCTTTCGTTCCTGGCAGTTTATGTTGAATTTGGTTGAAGTTGATGAAACTATCGGACAAAGAACGATAACACAATTACATCGATCGACTCTGTCCTAATAAAATACAATTAAACATTTCTGGGTCTTGTAAACTCTGGCTGCAAGTATATTTTGCGAATAATTCCGCACTTGAAGATGTTACTCCCTCATTTGTAACTTACTTTTTTCTACAAGGGGTTATGTTAATTTTTTTTTCTTTTTTTTTCGGTTATTTGAGTTACCTACTTTTTAATCGTGGTAATTCTGCTGGCAGTTGAGATGCATGTGACGAGACTTATTTCGAAATAACTGTGTCTCATTGAAAATTCAATGTCGTCGCAATCAGTGTCGATTACAGGTCGGGTTATTTGTACGCAATGGCAAACTTGAACGAACGGATATGAGCTTGAGAGACTGGACGATGTTTCCTCGGAGTGAAAATTCGGGAAAATGGTAGGAATGGCGCGTGGTCGTATTCGTATGCCGTTTTCGCAGGCGACGCACTCTTGTCGAGGCGGTGCTGGCATTTCTTTATCGATTGCCGAAGGGCACGCGAGGGGGCCATGTTACGTGACACGTGTTACAAGTAGAATTGTTGTACCTAAGCACGGCACGTAAGCGAGGTGCGGTGTAGAAACGGTTGTCTCGTGTTACGCGGAGGGTCGTATTATCGGATCATAACATTTGAGCCCGAGCATTGACAGCGAACATTACTTATTTTTTTTTTTTAATTATAAACAAGATATTGTTCTGTTACTTCGCAAAGTAAACTTTCGCCCAGTCGATCCACTAGGGACGACTAGAAAAAGTATTCATGGTTTTCGTGTCCGGTGGTTCTTCCTGTCCATTGACAAGACTAAAGGCGATAAGGAGTCACTTCGTACGACTTGATGGGGGATGGCGCTACAAAATAAGGGAATTGTTGCAACAAGAGTGCTATAAAATATCGCATTGGCAAATTGTTACCGTTTGGGAACTCTTCTCGTATATTGTCGAGAGCTATCATCTACTGTTCTTGTCCATTCGCAAAAACCAAACGCGCACACTCTCTCTAGAAGCTGTATCAATTTTATTGCAGCAGTAGTTATTAAATATTTTTTGTCATCATTCCTAAGGAGAAATAGTCAACAATTAGCGGTCAAATGTTTGAGTTTGAGTCAAATGTTGCGTCCTCCGGGCATACGTGAAATATTTAAAACTGCCGATCGGCGCTTTTGGAAAAGGGTTAGTAGGTAAAATGAAACGAGAAAGCTTCAATCAACTCCGGTTACTCGGTTTTTATAACTTCATCGAATATTATTGTTCATTCTCGGAACGGCTACGATGGGCGTACAAGCCAATTATTACCGTCTGGCAGCTCTTTCTGCCGATTGGGAAGATGAAGGTCGGTAGGGGAGCGCTCGTGCGATCGAACAGGTGGAATGGAATCGGGGAGTCTCAATCGGTTTTCATAGGTAATTAAGAGGGAGAGGCCGTGGGCATCGCTAATCGGGACACGCGTGTCTCGTGGGGTCGCTTCACCTCCACATGGGAGTGCCGCTTCGGAGGCACAGGTGCGCGACGGGGGACCCTCTCTTTCCTCTCTCCCCTTCCTACTGATTTATCCTGCGAGTCCCCTTCCCTCCTGACGACTCTTTCATTCTTCGACGCGGCTTACTCGACGCCGTTACGTGCCCATCGGTGGCCCCGATACTTTACAGATTTCGAGGTCGGCCTCGGAATACTATTCTCGCCCATGAAAACCCTATATATACATCTATACACTTCTTTCCAGTAGCTAAATAAAAATGTAACCAAATATTTTTTTTTTTTTCCATTAAGCTTTAGAGTATCGAGCCTCGCCTACCTTTGAAATTTTATCCTCTCGTTTAAATTTCAAGTGCGAAAGTACTTCGCGGATAATTTAACGCGGATTTTCCGGTATTGGGAAAAAAGTGCAAGGCATAATATAGCGACTATATACATCTGTACACTTCTATTCCAGTAGCTAAATAGAAATAGAAATGTTACCAAGTATTCCTTCATTTTTTTTTTTTTTTTTTCATTAAGCTTTAGAGTACCAGGCCTCGCCTACTTTTGAAATCTTGTCCTATCGTTTAGATTTGAAGTGTGAAACTACTTCGCGGATAATTTAACGCGGATTTTCCGGTATTGGGAAAAAAGTGCACGGCATAATATAGCGACTATGTAGCTAACGTCAAGAGAAAGAATGAGGAAGCCGGAATTTTTCCTCCGTTCTCCATCTTTCCTTTCTGTTGCCTTCGTAAAAATATTAAGGGAATATTGAGTTTCAGGTCTCCACGTCTATCTAACGTCCGTGATACTTAAACGTATGAAACGAAAGGTCGGTAAGAATTAGGACGGTATATGTTCATGAAATATAAAGTGGGCACGATTATATGCCGATGTATTGTGGCATCTACTCGTACAATTCATAGCGATCGCCAGTTGCGACGAATCGATCACGGAAATCAATGTTCTTCCCACGAGCGATGAATATTAATGTCGTACCCGAGCGTCAAAGGTCTTTGAAAATTATACCACCCTGAAGGCGTTATCCTTGGGACCCATTGAATTATAGCGATAAGGATTCATCCCACCGTAGGATTTACCTGTAATCCTTAGGTTTTATCCCAGGGACCCTCCCCGTCTCTCCTCTGATATAGTTTATAGTTGAGCGATCACGATTGGCCCTTCGAAACACTTGCAGGGTAGGGCGACATCCCTTCTTCTTTTTTTTTTTCCCTGATGGTTAAACAAAAAGTGACTTCCAGGATCCGTAACTAGGGTCCCAGTCTCGTGATGAAGGTTCGATCTTGACCAAAGAAGGGGAAGTAGAAGGAAATTGCTCCGAAATTATCGTACGCCATTATTACCGGCGGTAG